GGCTGGAGATGGTTTACTCTGGGGTCACACAGATCCACGATCCTGTTGACCTCCCTCGAAGAGTCAGCACATGAACCAATCACCCCAGGAACTTCTCATTGGAGGGCCTGGAAGGCTCTTTCTCTCACTAGTAATGGAAATCCATCTGGCAAAGCGGCTTCACTGATCTCAGAAGGGATGTGGAAACTGCCATCTCAAATTATCTACCAGCCAATTTTTATACTGAAGACCTCTTGTGCTATTATTATGTTATTAATATGGTTGAGTCTAAATGACTGCCTTGCTAACTAAAACAGCTTTTAAAAAAGAATCCCTCTGCAGTGGTACCTATCAGACCCTGTGCAAACAAGCCATATAATTTACATGCACTCCTTAAACCATTAACACTAAGACAAATTCTGCCATTTAAGTTTCCCTCTTGCTAAACAGTGAATCTTGCTGCTCTGGAAGAAACAAAGCAAAAAGGGAAAAAGTGACTAGCTCCTGCTCATCTCTCACCTGTCCACTGAAAGAGAGAATGTGCTGATGCCACGCATCCTCAAGGAGGTCAGCAAAATGAAGATTTACTNACAGCATGGTGCTGATAACACCACGGTCCAGGATTCAATCCCTGAACCGGCCAGTCACCAAAAAGAAATCACACCAGTGAACATTCCATATTTATTAAAAGAACACATGAAGACTAAATACTATAAAATCTACAGTGGCTATTTTTTAAAAACACGTTTTTAAAGTGTTGAGATCAGTTTCTAAAACTTTGCATCAATTTTCCCACTGCCAACATGCTTCAGGTTAAAATATTGCTCAAGATGAAGAGAGAACTTCCCATTCCTTTTCCTATTTATGATTTAAGCTAATCTATTTAATACTGTCAAAGACAACAGGCATGCTCAATCACTATGGCCCAAGTTACACGCCCAGCCCTGGGAATGTTCCATTGAGCAAAGCAGAGCAAGCTGAAGACAATGGCATGTATGGTCAGCTACAAACCCCAAGGCTCCTCCTGAATTGCCACCTTACCTCAGACTCATCTGTAGATTCTTCAAGAGACCCGGTTTCCTACAAAGCATAGAGGGAGAAAATGGTTAGAAGAGATGAAAAAAGAATAAAAAACATTTGCAAGGGAAAAGAGTATTTGAGTCCCTACCACTAACACCTCTTTTTGGAAGGGAACTTGTAACCACACTTCAGAAGACTTCATGTGCTCGACTCTCATGTGCCTCCTACAACTTCTCTACACTACACCCCGACAGGCTGGAGATGGTTTACTCTGGGGTCACACAGATCCACGATCCTGTTGACCTCCCTCGAAG